TGTAATCTTCCTGCGAAGCCTGACCTTGCTTCCAGATCATACAATTTCTTTTTTCTCTCAAGCTCCACGAGGAGTTTCCTGCTCAGCCAAGCTGTTCTTCTGCCCCGCTTGCTTGACTTTTGACACAGTGGAGTTGCCTGCTCTTGTGCTTCTAAAAGATGGTTCTTAATGACTGACCAGCACTCGTGGGCTCCTAAGCCCTCAAAAGCAGATTCCCAGGGTACTCTGCTGAAGAGCTCCCTGAATAGCTTAAAGTTTGCTCTCCTGAAGTCCACAGTAGCAACTCTGCTGTCCTGTTCTCTTATTACACTGAAAATTTTAGACTTAACCATTTCTCAGTCCCTCAAAAGCAGATTCCCAGGGTACTCTGCTGAAGAGCTCCCTGAATAGCTTAAAGTTTGCTCTCCTGAAGTCCACAGTAGCAACTCTGCTGTCCTGTTCTCTTATTACACTGAAAATTTTAGACTTAACCATTTCTCAGTCCCTGTGGCCAAGACAGCCACCTACCATCACATCCCCCCACTAGTCCTTCTCTATTCACAAATAGCAAGTCTAGGAGTCCATCTTTCCTAGCTGGTTCACTGAGTACCTGTGACAAGAAGTTACCATCTCCTACAAACTTCAAGAATTTCCAGGACCTACTCATCACAGCAGTACGATATTCCCAGTTGATGTCTGGGAATTTGAAATCTCTCACAAGGACAACGTCTACCAATCCAGAAATTTCTCCTAATTGCCTATAGAATAACTCATCAGTGCTTACATCCTGGCTGGGCAATCGGTAGCTGACACCCACTACAACATCTCCTTTGTTTTCCATCCCCCTAATCCTCACCCAGAGGCTCTCAGTCACATCATCGCTAAATGTAAGGGTTGTGCAATCAAACCTCTCCCTTACATATAGTGTGACACCTCCACCTCGCCTGCCCTGCCTGGCCCTCCAGAACAGCCTGTACTCTCCATCCCAGCACTCCCGTGTGGGACTCATGCCACCAAGTCTCACTAATACCAATGATACGGTAGCTCTGCGCCTCCACCTCGCCTGCCCTGCCTGGCCCTCTGGAACAGCCTGTACCCTCCATCCCAGCACTCCCGTTGTGGGACTCATGCCACCAAGTCTTACTAATACCAATGATACGGTAGCTCTGCGAGCTGACCAATGCTTCCAGTTCATCTTGTTTCTCACACTGCGTGCATTGGTGTAAAACCATTTAAAATAAACTCCTGAGCCCTCTGTGCGTCCAGGAGCAGTGTAAATGTTCTCCAGTTCATCTTGTGTGTTTCTCACACTGCGTGCATTGGTGTAAAACCATTTCAAATAAACTCCTGAGCCCTCCGTGCGTCCAGGAGCAGTGTAAATGTTCCTACCAGGATTGCCACCCTCGGGCAATGCCATGCCAACCCTTGGCTTACCTACTGCAATCCTGTTGGTACCCTCTTCCCACACTGATTCTAGTTTAAAGCTCTCCCGATCAGTCCCACCAGCTTACAGCCAAAGACCTGTTTTCCCCATCAGGACAGGTGTATCCTGTCAGGGCCCAACATACCTTGTCTCTTGAAGGCACTTCTGTAGTTTAAAAACCCAAAGTTTTGGTGGAGATGCCAGTCCTGGAGCCAGGTATCAATATCCTGGGCTTATCTCTTTCTTCTGAGGTCTTCCTCCATTACTGGGAGGATGGAGGAGAACACTACCTGTGCTCCCAAATTTTTTAGCATTCTTTCCAGCGCACTGAAGTCTCTTTTGATTGACCTCAGACTTTTTGTTGTGACATCATTTGTACTACGTGAAAGAGCACAAATAGGTAGTAGCCTGAAGATTGAACTAGGCTTTTCAGTCTTGTGGTGACGTCCCTAATTCTTCTCAGCACTTTTCAGTCTTGTGGTGACGTCCCTAATTCAGGCCCCAGGGAGGCAGCAAACTTCCCGGAGAAGTGGGTCCGGTCTGCAAATGGGTGTTTCCATTCCACACAAGAGGGAATCGCCAATGACTGTAACACGCTGCTGTTTCTTCTCAGCACTGGTCTTCATGCAGGTCTTGTTATGAGGGTTTGGGCTCTCTGATCTTGGCAAGCCTGCTTGTGCAGGTTCCTCCTCTTTCTCATTATGCACTTTACCTACAGCACCCAGGGCCTCATACCTGTTCCGCAGGGGTATCTTAGAGGGTAACTTAGAAGGTAAGGAAGGGTTTTCTCTATCGCTCTGTGTTGTAACCTTCTTCCACCACTCCTTATCCCCTGTGACACTGCCCTCCACCTGGCACAAAGCAGATCCAGGACCTGTCTCTGTAGTGGCCACGCTGAGTTCACTTCCATGCATCACAGATGGCAGAGTACAGCTCCGTTGGTCAATCTCTCTCTCTCATTCTCCAATGTTCCTTAGTCTGGTCACCATCTCCTGCAGCTCAGCCACCAAGCAAAGCAGCTCATCAATCTGGTCACACCTCCTGTCACCTTGCTTGCGATCACTTTCTACTTCTAGGAATATCCCTTCACACATCCCACAGCCATCTCCTCCTGTGACACGGTGACCTGCTTAGTAGATGATAGAAAGTCTGCGGATGATGTCTACCTAGACTTCAGTAAAGCCTTTGACACCGTTTCCCACAAGGGAAGGCTAAGATTCCCACCAGGTTGAACTGTCATCTGGTCTTCAGACTAGAATCCCAGAACAGGCCAGGGAGCATAGAACATTAAATACCAAACGCCTCACCATTTTCTGTTTCCATGCCTTTTAATTTTTCTAAAATGGATGCAGTTTTCACCGAGCTGTTGGAATTCACCTATAACTTCATAAGCATTTCAAGTGCGCAAAATGCAGCAGACACAGTAAGCTTAATTCTGTATT